TTTGATGCATTAATCAGCCACTGACTCTGGTTGCAAGAACTGCACAGAGTAGAGTTCTGAGTGGTATAAAGCAACAGTACATGGGACCCTCATGACACTGTGGACTTGGGGACATTATTATGACATTTGAGTGAGTTGTTACAGAATTCTATGAATTTTTTTTTCAGGGTGCTTTGAATAACACATGGAGAAAAGCCCACAAATTGCAGTGAGAACCTGCAATTCTTTTGAGATACACTGAAAAATAAAATCCAGAACTTCCTACCTCACCTGCCCTAACAGCAATGCTTTCTGTAAGCTCATTGCCAGGTGAACAGAAAGGTTTGTTTAATTTTCAGTGCACACAGACAAAACAGATTTTGTTTTGGGAAGATGATTGGTTTGCAACGTAAAGTGCCCATTGAAAGATGTTTGTGATTTCTCTTTATGTAAGGTTTCCAGAGTCTTCGGTGGTGCCCTAAGATGTATGTCATAGCATGTTCATACAAAAGTAGGCTGTTTAAATTACTATGCAAGACCCTGCAGCCACAGTAAATGCTGCAAGAAAATACTGCAGCCATAGTGCAAGTCTCATGTTCTGATTACGTTAAATTCTCACTCTGTGTGCAACTTGGCAAAAGATTCCTCCCTCAAAATTTGCTCACCAGAAGCAAAAAGGTCCTTTTAAAAGTTCCTTCTCAGTTCAGACTAACTTCCCCACCCATTCTTCTTCTCAGACTGATACTTCATAAACTACAAATTTGATTGTTTCCTTTTTCACTGGATACCTAGAAAGGCCAAGCTCATTTGCTTTGTGTAGGTATAAGGGGAGACCATGCCACTGACCTGAAAGAAATAACTCTCTTATTACAGCATAGCATGCTGGTTGCTGTGTTGGATGCCATTGCTAGGTGAGCGATATAGTAATTTCTTACATTATTCTTACCCCAAACTACTGCATTCTAGTTCTACAATAAAGTGTGAATACTCCATACCGGTTTTAAGTATCAAAATTGTTCAGCAGACAAAGAGCTGTCCTGGTGACCCCAGGGGGAGCGCAGCAATGGTACTGAAGACCAGAGGGCTAAGAGAAAACTGGTCTTGAAAGTCAAGTTTTGCAGAGTAAGAGTCAGATAGCTATCACACAGAAATCATTCTGCAGAAATCTTTAAAAAGATTGAAATGTAAGCTTACATATGATCCTTGATTTTATGTTTATTTACATACATATATAACACAGAAAGTCTCTACATAATGTATAGAAATTATAACTATCGCTGCCTAAAAAGCACTACAGATTAATAAAATAATTTGAACAGATCCTGATCTGCCCAAGAAAGAGTACACAGTTCTGACAGATCCCTTAGTACAGATGGTGGGAGTGAAACGTATCCACATAATAATCACATCCTTACCAAAATTGAAAACGTATGTGAAACTCATGGTGGTCTAGCAAAAATATAAACTCATAAACGATTTCTTGATTTGGTGTCATCATTCATTTCTTTCATTTGAGAAATCATTTTAGTAGGACATACAAAGATTGATGGCTTTTTCATAAAAGGATATTTTATGAAATAGTGAAATGTAGCATATTTCTACCTGATAAATGCAGAGACCTGTAAACTTTGAACCCACACTGGCCTTTGTTGCTCATGACCCTGTTTAAATGATTTATTTTCTTTTAACAACTGAAGTCTGCAGGAGGTAGAATACACTGTGTAGATCTTTAATTCTGTTGAAAATTTAACAGTTTAAACACAGAATGGCTGACATGAGAAGACCTATTACTGAAAAGTCGTATTATCTTCATTTCAATATCCCTTTCAGGAGTGATATTTATGGGTGGAGAAAATGGATAATTGATAAAAACAACCTGGCAGGCTGCTGCAGAGCAACGGAGGAGCTGGTTGGCATCGTTGGCTTCATACTGGGGTGTCTGGTGGACTGCATCAAAACTACAGACTCTTGGATTCCAGCACATGCAAATATATAAAATCAGCAAACTTGCCTTTTTTCTGGAACATCTTGAAGGAATTGAATACTTCCAACTCTTGTGAAACGTACGGATTTAAAGATCCTTCACTGCTTTTTATTTATATATTGTCAGTGTGCAGTAAAGTCAAAATAACATCATTAGCATATTTTCTACTCTTTCCCATGTAGTTCACTACAGAAATTAAGTAAATCAGTCCTCATCAATGTGATGATAACAATCATCTCAAATGCAAGTCATGTTCCATACAGAGAATCCAATATTGTTTCAGAACAGTGGGGTTCAAGTCAGGATGTTTCCTCAGCACTGTACTACACTACTGCTCTACTGCTCTTTCATTAGATCAGCCTACAGAATCTTACCAAGCTTTAACGTGTACCTAAGCGTTATCATATAGTGCCTAATGCTCCATTTTATAAAATTAAACTGATATGACCAAAGACATGAATAAGGTTGGGGTTTTTTTTTAAGTTGCTTATTCACTGAATAAGCTTCTTAGTCTAAGCAAACTCTATGTTTGTGAAACATCTCATGAATACGTGGTGCTGTAATGTAAATACTAAATTTTTAAAGCTCCCCTACTTTTCTTTACTCTTCATTATTAGAAATAAATCTTATGAACCAGATAAAAGTATTACAGTTAATCTCACCTGAATGGAAACAGTATGTACTACTCTTTTCAATACAAGAGAAACTGGCTTTGACTAGAGTGGCAACAACTGGCAAACTGATTTTATAGTTTTGATTTATTGAATATTAGGAAATAAACTTTTTTAATAACGACTCCATTTAAGTATTCATTAAAATGGAATTAGTGCAAGCAGGGCCAGATTCTCATATCCATATTCTTGTCAGACAGCATTTTATTACACAAAAGTCCCACTGACATCAGTGGGATTACTTGTAAAAGACTGTTCAGCATGAGTGAGAATGCAGAGCTTGCTGCTAAGAGGGTACAAAGGGCTACAGAGCTCTGAGGTATAACTCTGCAACCCTATAACTGTCCCCACAACAGCCCTCAGCAGTGAGGAGCAGCATGCAAGTGTCTGCCTAGGACTCCTCTGTATATTGGTGTGCACCAATGTCTGCACCTCACCAACCAAAAACCTCACTCGCTTTGTCCCTGCCCCAACTGCATGGGACTTGAAATAAGCATCTTCATCCTCGCAAAGGAAATTCCCAAAGATTCATTATTTTACTTAAGACTGTGTGCTGAAGATGTTTATCTTCATAGTTCCTTCGGTCTGAGCAATAGTTAGAACAAAGGAATGCATAGCAATGTGGCCTTAAAACAGCATTATGAAGACATACTTGGATTTATAAGAAAAATCACTCAAGGAAAAAAAAATAGGTTGATATAGTAGTGGATCTTATTAAAGGATCAAGACTGCATACTGAAATTCTTTAAATTACACAGCTGAAAAGATTACCATCTTGTGTTTTTGTTTTGTACACTCCTGACTTAAGTATACCTAAACAAATAAACTCATATGATGGCACAGGATACAGAGAATTGGCTTAGTTATTAATACTGATGACCATAAGGAAAAGCATATCCATTTTTCCATATACATCTCCAGATGCCCCTCAAACTGAATTTGATTACTATCTGTACTATCTTTCTTTATTCAGTAATCACTAAATATAATGAACCAGAGAGAAGGTTGATAAATTTGACCTTTATATATAAAGCAATGATATGTGAACAGTTGGTGACTATCTTAATTTATCCTTCAATCAAAATTATTGGCAATCAATTTTGGAAAATAACCTTTAGTATATATGCTGTGCTTTTATATTTTCATTCCATACATGACCGTACGTGAAATGCACTACTTGACTGAGTGAGCATAGGTAGAATGCAGGTCTGACAGCAAATCCTTCAGTCTAATCAGTCACTATACGTACAGCCTTTCCTCCTCCATGGAAACTGCTGCTTCCATTCTGTAGAATTGCTCAGCAAAAAAACATTTTGCCAGTAGAAAAACAAATATGGTCAAAGCCAATTTCCTTAACATTTCTTTAAAATCTCAAAAAGGTCTTCTTTTTTTTTTTTTTTTTTTTCCCCTGCAGGTATAATTCATAAACAAGCTGCTTGTTCTGTTTAACTTTGGTTTAAAAACTAGCCAACACAAAGGATATTCTATCATATAGTTCTCAAAGGTCAGAGCTGAAAGCTTAAACTTCAGGTTCTACTGAGATAAAGGCACTGTGCTTTGCTAAGTTATTATCCCTGCTTATAATCTTCACTGACTTCAGAAAGAATTGCATTGCTTAAACAAAAAGGAAGTCTGATTCTAATTTGCTATCTAGATCTACATTCTTATATTCTTTTTATAGATTTTTGAACAACTTATCACTGGCATCTTCCTTCACTCAAACATAAGTGAAAGTTTTATCTTACTTCGGATATCGCAAAAATAATTTATGACTAAGGAAACAAAACCTTTTGTCTCACAATATATTTCTTTGCGACAGCTGTGCTATTTCACTGAAAGCACAAAAGCTGTGATGGTCTGGACTGCAATCAACCATTTTTAATAGGAAATTTTTACAGACTTTTAATAAGATCTCCTAGCATAATTTATGGGGAGAGGTTTTGAAGTGAAGAGGCATTGTTTGGCAAAGTGTTCTTCCTCTAATCTCAGGAAATTTAAATAATCGACTGCTCATTTCCTCTAAACTTAGGATTTCTCCTAAAAAAAATGGTTAAGAAAAACACCTGCTATACTAGCAGCAAAATAAGTGCACCTAGGCCCCAAACAAAATGTATTTCTAATGGCTGTTCAAAGGCAAAATACTTGATGTCAGAACAAATTATTACTCATAATAATAACACAGTATTGAGTTTTGTCTGTTACATTCAGAATATTTAAAAATATTTTGAATGTAGATAGCATGCTGGTTAGGATAACTGCAGGTTTGTTTGTTTGTTTAAGTTCAAGAGGTTCAAAATAAGTGGGCAAACAATTCATAAACAGTTTAGAAGAAAACCACAGAAGCACCCAAAAGTTACTGCACTTACTGAAGCAATCCACGGTTCCTCTGACCACAGAACTTGGCTGGGATGAGGAAAAGAATCAGGCTTCCCTGAGACCTCTGGTAAGTCTTGCAAGAAGAGACTCACAGGATATGTCAGCACTTTCGCTTTTGTCCCAGCCAAATCTAGGAAAAAAAAAATCAGAAAACTAAATAGGGGCCACATTTCTATTCATCAACAAGGACAGTCAAAGCTCCTGAACGTGGGACAGATTTGGTTTGGCTGACTGGGTTTTTGGATGACACCCAGAATTTATTCTAACTTTTCAGTGTAATCCATTGTCTGTATTTATGATTTACAGTAACAGCTTCCTAACTGTATTCCCCCAGACTATGTTGGTTAGAACACCTCTCCCACAGGTGGTAAACAAAACAAAACAAAGCAAAACAAAACAAAAAAATAGAAAGAAAGAAGGAAAAGAGAACGGGGAAAAAAAGGGAGAGAAAGAGAGGGAGAGAAAGAGGAAAAGCCTTTAATGGAAGGGCTAAGAACAGCTCAGGTGCAGTCAGAGCACCAGGGACTCGTCCAGGTCATTTTATGCTGAAGACCTCAAGAGGGCACTCAGCACAAAACGTAGTGCATTACAGGACTCCAAGGAGGTGACTGCAGTTCATTCCTAGGCCAGTTTTCACAAAAAGCAGTTATCCTTACCATTTTTCCAGAGAGCCAACTCTCCTTTCATCTCTTCATCACCACAGATACAGAACTGTAATAAAAAATAAAAAATTAAAATTAAAAAATCCGAGGAGGGAAAATATGCCATCATAAAATCTATGCTTCTTTTTTATATTGAAGAATAGCCGTTTTGTTAGTGTTTTTAACATTTTACCATTTAAAAGAGGACCAGTTTCTACATTCACCTCTAAAACCTGACTTTTAAAAAGCTGTTGATCGCAAAGGTGTGCCAGCCAAAGAACTTTGCTTTCTTCAGTCACTATGTTCAAGACGTGCGGGACAGAATATCACTTTCTTAGACTCCTCCCCTCTGGCCTGCCTACAGAAACTAAACGAAATCCAAACCAGTTTTCAGGGGGTTCCAGTCAAAATGCACCTTCTCCTCTCTCTTCATCCAAGACTTAGCGGGATGTTCCTGCCTCCATGCCTGTATATGTTCACACAGGCACACAGCAGCCACTTCTAACATGGCAGGGCCTCCTGTGGGTGGGCTCCTGCTCTGCCCTGTCCGCACAGCACGGCTCCCAGCCGCTCCAAAGACCTGCAGCCGCAGGGCTGCCTGACCCCAGGCCTCACAGCTCTGCACCCCAGCAGCCTCTGCAGCATCTCTGACTCTCCAGGCAGAGCTTTTATCCCATCTGTGGCCGGTACTCTCAACTGCCTTCACAGTCTGCAAACAGGATTATAAACAATTGCCTTGTTCCCACAGAGATGTCATTATTCTGATAAAACTGAAACCCATTCTTCTATAACATCCTCTTTAACATTGGTAGTTTCACAAAACACATACTGCCCCTTCTCTATTCAAAGTGGACTTCCTGATGCACAAGTTCAAACCCCAGCTATCATCTATCATCTTAATTCTTCCGGGACAAATAAAGTATCGTGCAACATACCATATGTGGATATTTCAGCAGAGCTATTTAGAGGCATGTCCTGTCATCCCTTTGCAATCAATGGTTATTTTATTTTTGTATATCTAGAGTAATACACAACAAACCTCCATCCAGGTACACTATCTGAACAAAAAGCAGACACCAGAGTGACGAGTCAACTCCCTGCACGAACTGAGCCATTTCGGGACCCTGGGGCACCTGAGACACCTACAAGCATGGCACAGCACATGAGCTTTGGGAGCCTTGTCAGTTTGCAGCCACACACATCATAAGACACAAAGTGACACTGGGCTTCAGCACTTGAAATGCCTCCTGGGGATCTGCAGCAGACCAGATGTACCATGTATTATTCTTATTCCCCGCCCCCCCCCCCCGTGTGCCAGCTGTACTATCCAAAAGGAGTACAAGCATAAAAACCAATGTGAGTCATGGCTTTTACCAGTGTGCTCAGTGCACTGGAAACACAGATGCGGATGCTAGAGCTGCTTGGTGTTCAGACTCCATAAGTGGGTCTGCCTGGCTGCTACGTGCTCAGGTGTGCAGGTGGGAGAGGGGCGGGGGGCTGTATGCAGCACCATTACTGCCTGAGGGAATGGAGTTTACAAGACGCTTTTACCTCTGGAAGTTATGATGGGTAAAATTAGCAGTAAGAATAATTAATTCTGCCATTAGAGATAAAAGGTTGGAACCACTACTGCTTTAAACACTTTAGATAAAACACACATTAAAAATATCTCCCGAAACACTTGCTGAGGGGGACCCAAAAGAGATTATGGCCAGAATCACCTCAACGTGTGCTAGTTGTGACCCGAATGTGTGAATCTCCACGCACTCAGCGATCAGGCACAGGGAGCACAGCCTGTCCCACATCTCAGAGCCCCACAGCTTCCGACTGTGACCAACGCACATTGCCGGTAATTGCACAGCCCAGGACTTCTTCCAGTTTCTGCACAAGGGATGGAACTCCTGCTGTCCAAACAGTGGAGATGAATCCGCCGGGATCTGATTTACTGAGGACCGCAACGTTTTTAGAGGGGATTTCCAGGACAACAAAAACAACGCACGGTATTTTTAAGCACGGTGCCATCCTTGATGCTGTCAATCCCCAGAGTTCGTCGTCATTTTGCCAACGGCCGGCTCTTCCCAGCTACCTCCCAACTTGCCACCTTCGCAGCCGCCGCCTCAGAGCCCTTCAGCACCAACGGCCGTTAGCTGGGCGCGAGGCGCGGGCGGGAAAGCGGGGCGGGAAAGCGGGGCGGGAAAGCGGGGCACGAGCCGGGGGCACGCGCAGGAGGGGCGCCAGGTGAGGGCACGGCGCGAGCGCCCTCCCTTCCCTCTCCTCCCGCCTTCCCGCCACGCCCCACGCGCCCCTCCCCTCCCCGAGGAAGCGGAAGTGGGTGTCTCGCGGCACCGGAAGTCGCTCCGTCTTTCCGGTGCGGCGGCGTGCTCGGGCCGGCCGCGGCAGCCTCCGCTGCAGTCATGAGCGTCCCCGCGTTCATCGACATCACGGAAGAGGACCAGGTCCGCTGTCGGGGGGCGGCCCGGCGGAGCTGCGGGCAGGCGCGGGGCGGCCGGGAGGGGAGCGGGAGGGCAGCTGTTTGTCCGCGGCGGGCCCCTCCGCCGCAGCAGCCGGGCCTCGGGCTGGGAGGCGGCGCCGGCCCTGTCGTGCGGGGGTTGCCGCGCCCCCCGCCCGGAGGCACAGCTCAGGTGGAAGGGGGCACGTTAGAGAAACCCCGAGTTCAGAGAGACGCCTGGTCTTGGTGCTGCCTCTTGAGGGACTGCCACCTCCCTCGTGCTTTGCTCTGTGGTCTCTTCAACGGTGCTTTCTTATGAAGTGATAACTACTTCAGTACTGGCTAAAGCATTACATGTCAGGGGCTTTGCCCGTTTCTGTCTTTGACTGGCAGTGTGTGCTGCTTCCAGTGGCTTTGAAGTGGTAGACCTGGAAACCTACGTGAGCTGCATTCAGAAATACCAGCCTTCTCTCCTGGCCTCACATGTCCCAGTGTCCAGTAAATCTCCCTTAGGGTAGTTAGCCTAGAATGCCCTCAGCAGCCATGGGGCAGGGAGCACTTAGTGATGTCCAGCAGCACTGTGTTGGTTTGACACTGAATCTGACAGAAGTTACACCTAGTGTTACAGTTGCATCCAGATCAGAGCTTGCCTGTGACAAGGTAAACCAGGTCATAGGATTACACTGGGAACTGTATTTGTTTGATGTCTGTAAAGTCTGCCTTCTCTAACGTTGTTCTGTTTATACACTTTCCTGGAGAAGAGACAACTAAATTTTTAGAGGTTGTAAAAATTCATAAGAAAGCATCTTTCTCACACAACATTACCAGGCTGCAGTCCTGCACTCTGTAGTTGGAAGTGACACATACCCACTGAGAGAAAGCTCAGCAGTGAGGTGATGCTCTCAGTTCCTGCCTCTCGCGCTGAGCTGGTGTTAGGGTTATATGCTGTCGTTGGGGAGAGGGAGTGCTATGGGATACTGGGTGGTGCCAGAAGATGTCAGCTACTGTGCGAGCAGCAGGGGAAGAGAAGTGACTGTGGAAGAAAAACCTGTAAGAAATTCTATTACTTTAATATTGCTGTTCACAAACCAACTGTTTTGTGTGTTTCTTTTAAGGCTGCAGAACTTCGAGCTTACCTGAAGTCTAAGGGAGCTGAAATCTCTGAAGAAAACTCTGAAGGGGGACTTCATGTTGACTTGGCACAGATCATTGAAGTTTGTGATGTGTGCCTGAAAGAGGATGATAAAGGTTTGTCACTTCAAGTTGCCAGTTTTGCTAAACATACCACAATTAATGTTTTCAAATGAGTAACCATGAGCAGAATTTAGAGCTGTGTTGCATGTCTTACATGTTAACACATGCGTATTTGTGAAACTGCAAGTACTTGCTTCCAGCAAGGCCATGTGAAATTTGCATTTGCTCTGCCCCTCCCTTCAAACATCCACTGCCCTTTGAAGGAGTCAGCAGCAGAGCTAGACTGTGCTTGTTATGAAGGCAGCTGAGTTGTATATGAAACCAGTTTTCCCTCTGAGAGTTATATGATAAAGATTCAGTGCTAGTTAATGTTCCTGGTGACAGATCAAACAGGTAGCAAAACAATCAAGACTAAACATCTGTGACTAGAAGACCACATTGAGCCAAATCTCTTGTATATTCTGATGAACAGATTGGTAATGTTGGCATTTTATCTTTTGCAGTATTTTGCAAAATGAGTATGCATAGCAGAAGTAACTGCAGCACCAAATAGCAGTTACTGATGATGAGTGTCTCTGGCAGTTCTAAATAGCTGTATATTTTTTTCCGTGCAGATGTTGAGAGTGTCATGAACAGTGTAGTCTCTTTGCTTCTTATCCTGGAACCTGACAAACAAGAAGCACTGATTGAAAGTCTGTGTGAGAAGTTAGTGAAATTTCGGGAAGGAGAGCGCCCGTCTCTCAGACTGCAGCTGTAAGTATTTTGTAGAGAAAGGTGAGACTGGTATCTTGCAGAGGGAGCGCATTATTTCATACACCTCTCTAAATCAAAGCATGGGATGTCGGATTAAGATTCGTCCATTGTAGGGAAAAGTTTAAAAAACCACATACTACCTATCATAAAATAAATTACTGTTATACTTTCTTTGCTAAGTATTATGAACTTAAAAATGCACAGAGCTTTTGGCTTCTCAGCTGGAACCTGTTATAAAACTGAACACTGTTACAATTCAGCATGGACTTAATGTGCTACCAGGTGCTTTGTACAAGCACACGCATAACTAGAAACATTGATATGCATCCCTTTTTTCCTAAATGTTTTCCTAAACCTTTTAACTCAGTTTTTTGTTGTTTGTGGTTTAGACTGAGCAATCTCTTCCATGGTATGGATAAGAACACTCCTGTGAGATACACAGTGTACTGCAGCCTTCTTAAAGTGGCTTCATCATGTGGTGCCATCCAGTACATTCCAACTGAATTAGATCAGGTAATTACTGTGGTGCTTCAAGTGGTGGCCTCTGTATTAACCACACTGCATTTCACTAAGTATTACTCGGAGTTGACAAAGACCATCTCTTCCTGCTAAAAATTGCTAGAGTCTATGAAATAGAAATGTAGAACACAAAACTTCTTACCTTTTAAAGGTCTACATGTGGAATCTAGATCAAGCTGCCATTTATTTTTTGTCTCCAATTCTGCCCGTAGTTCCATGAATCTGTTTCTTGCAATAGTAACGAAAGCGAGGAGCTTAGATCAGGAATTGGGGGCATTGTGTTCCATGCTCTGGAATCGCAGTGTATTGGAATTTCTTGTCCTTAAGGAGTAACACAGAGAATGCAGACTTCTGGCTTCTTGTGGTGAAACTTCTACATTCTGCATGGGGAGCCTGGTAGTCAGAGGATGCGGAGGATATATTACTGTGAAATATTCTTTTGAATCCTTTTCTGCTTGAGAGTCAATAACTACAGTTTTGTTTTAGCTTTTTTCCAGTGCTTCCTTTCCACTTGTTTTTTACTTAGGTCCGAAAATGGATTTCTGACTGGAATCTCAGCACAGACAAAAAGCACACTCTTCTAAGACTTCTGTATGATGTCCTCGTAGACTGCAAAAAGAGGTATAAAAGACAAGTAATAGATCACTGCATTTTACATTGATGTATTGCAAGTTACATTAGGAGAACTATTTCTCGCGGCACTTTTAAAATTAATCTGAACTAACAATTCAGTCTAAATATACCTGATGCTTTTTCGTTTGTTTTAAGCAGTCTTGCATTAAACCATTTCTTAGAGAATATTAATTAGAGGGAATTAGCTACAGACTCCCAAAATAAAACTATTCCTTTTTGTAAATGTTAATCTTCAAGCATTGTAGTGTTATGCCAAGTTTATTTAGCATAAGTTTAATTGCACTTTTGGCATTTTAGCGCATGGCAGTGCTATCTCTTTTTTAATGATGCTGGGAGACTTATCAATCACAGTTAACGGAATCAGTCTTCTAATACAAACATTACCTTTAAGACAAAGATTTCTATCAGTCATCAAAATTAATGTCTGCAGAATACCTGCTTGACCACTTTAAATCATTATCCTGGATCATAAGAGGTATCTTTGATCTAACAAACTTGGCAGACCAGTATCTTCTGGCTGTAAAGCAATGCCGTCTGTACCGTGCCTGTAAATTAATGTAAATCTTAACTGAGAGCTGTCATCAATTTATCTTGGATATGTGATAGGGTGATTTGAAAGTATTGGCCAGGGCTGCTGATATGGGCTGAAGTGGTTTCAGTATGTATTCCACAACTGCATCAGCCTATCTGTCTAAATTGTCCCTGCTGTGGGAGGAGGGGGAGCAGCATTTCCTGTATTTGCATGACATTGTACTGCTGCAGAAAGAAGCACTTCTTTCCCCCATCCATTTCTCTGTGTGCACACATGCTGGTGTAGGCACTTGTGCAGCTGTACAGTGGATTGGATGGGGAGGTGACCTTTCTGCGGAAGAAAGGCAGGTGTGGAGCTGTCACAGTAGGAGGAGAGTTTTTTCTGGCAGGAGAGTTAGCTTATTCTGGCTTCATGCAAGTGTAGCCTGGAAATGCTGTGTCAGCAGAGCAGGATCATTTTTACTGAATCTCCATTTAGGGGTGATTAATCCTCATGGAGTTGTTACACTGAGCCGCAACATTAAAGCAATTTCCTGTCATTAACGTTAAAATGCTTTTGCATTGATGATACTTCATAACAGATTTCAACTGGTCAAAATCATTACAAAAATGTTAATCAGATTTTATATACAACGTAGCACTTCTGTTTTAAAGTATTACACTCATAAGCTGTAGTGCTCTCACCCCTAAAATATTTCTCATCCTATTGATTTATGCTTATAAGAGGTTTTAATTACCTAAATTCCCATATTTCATAGCTAATTATATTTTAACTAGTTTTACTATCAAAATATGTGAATTAAACTTCTGGCTTTTGTTCTCAGTGCTACAGTAAGCTTACTACCAAGGTTATTTAGCAGTTAGCTGCCCAGTTTTAGAAAAAAATGACATTTTTGCTTACCAGTAATATTTTTTAAGTGAGGCATTAAAAACTTCTACAAACTCTGTAATATATTACTTCTGCACTCAGTGTCCTTACCATCTGTTGCAGTGAGCTTTGCAGTGAATGGAGCAATTTTTCAGAGCACTTACACCCTTCTCCAGGAAAGAAAACAAGAAGTGACCCTAGCACCTTTGACCTGGTTCACTCTCCTGGATCAGTGGGCAGTATTTGCAATACTATGGGAAACACACAGCAGCATTCCAGCTGTAGCACACAGGAATGCTGCTCGGTGTAGCGGTATGGGAAGATAA